ATCATGATTACTACTATGATTGCCATCGTGATTACTACCATGATCACTATCTAGATTACCACCATGATTACCACCGTGATTACTACTATGATAACAATCATGATTACTACTATGATAACTATCATGATTGCTTTTACTAATGTGTTTCGTTTCAAGATTACCGACTTGATCACAATGCTTATTACTGTCGCGACTGGCGTGACCATACAGTAACCATAGCAGTTATCTTGGCAGTAATTGTAGCAGTAATCGTGACAGTAGTCATGACAGTAATCAGTTATCATTTTAGTAATTATAACAGTAATCATGACAGTAATCATGACAGTATTCATGATGACAGTAATTGTAGCAGTGGTCATTCAAATTAAAATTCTTTATTTCTTTAGCCAAAGACTCATTAGACACAAATCAATATTTACATATAATACATACAGTAAAGACGGCAAAGGAGACTAAATTACAAAATACTCAACAATTATAAATACAGTTATCATAAAACACGAAAAATGAATAAATATTAAATAGAAATTTTATCTCGTTTTTTATTTGCATAGAATAAATATTTTCCCAAGTTGATCAGTTTGCTGATATCTTGGACATTAAATAATAGTATGAGTTTAAATACACTGGGTTTATAAAAATAATATTTCTTAATATATCGACATCGTAAATCTTTATAAAGCGGACAAATTAAAATAAAATGACACTCATCCTCAATATCAAACAAGTTACAATAGAAACATACTCTGTCTTCACGTTTAGTTTTGTTATATCGCCCTCTTTCGATATATCGTCATGTAAATTATGACTTGATAATCTAATTCTACTAATTTCTTTACAAAAATTGAAATTAATATATTTTTTTTAAATAAAACGGTAAAGAGTTTTTACTAATAACATGACTATGATGAACTGCATATGCTTTCATAACACTCTTGCTTAAAAATATCAATTAATCTGGACTTAATAGTATGAAAACTTAACATCAAAATTCAATAAAACACCTAGATAATTAAAACTATTTACAACATCTACTGATCTTTTTTCATAAGTCTAAGTTTCATCTGGTTTTATTTTTCCACCATTTCTAAATATTTTAGTTTTGGCAACTTTCACAGTCATGTCCCATTTACTGGTATATGTTGATAAGGCGTTTAGAAGATTTTGCAAGTCGTTTGGGGTTTCCGCAAACATTGCCTCATCATCTGCATAGAATAGTAAAAATAAACTAAATTCTTTGAGATGAAGAGGCTTGCAATTTTCATTATTCAGATGCGATTCAAAATCATTAATATTGAACGAGAACAGTAAAGGGGACAGGACTTCGCTTTGGAAAAGACCATTTTTACACTTAAAATATTCAGAATACTCATTGTTATATTTAACACAGCATTTCACTTGACAATATATAAGGATCTAATGACGGTTAAGATTTTTCCCATAAATTTATTCTATTTGTAAAATCGAGTGCTTTTTTTATAGTCAACAAAACAGATGTATAATCGCTTTGCTCTCTTTATTAAGAATTGCAGTATGAAAATGGCATCAACTGTTAAACACTGTTTTCGAAATCCGAATTGACTGCTTGATATTTTCTGCTCTGAAGTATCAAAATCTAATAAGCGATTATTACGGATAGAGGTAAAAAGTTTTCCCAAACATGACACAATAGTAATTCCACGTTAATTATCAGTATATCATTTATATCGCCCTTTTTAAAACCTGGAACGACACTTCCAGTAGCCCAGATCGAAGGGAAAAATCATGAGTCTAAAATATTATTAAATACATTATCAAGTATAGGTAATAATGCAGCATTACAAAATATCAACATCTCATTTTGAATACCATTTATAGCTGAAGCTTTATTTAATTTTAATTGTTTAATTGTTTGTACTATCTCAGATTCAGTGATATAGGCATATATGGGATTATGCTCAGTACCATTCATGTTTTCAAAATCATTCAAAAAAATTGATTATATCAATGTTTTCTGTTGGAGGAAAGGTTTCTAAAATGTGAATAAAAAACTTCTAACTCTAATTGTGAAACACCTTTTACCTCTTGTTTTTTGAATAGATTATAGAATGTCTTAGGATTTGTAATCATGACAGAAATCATGACAGTAGAATGACAGTAATCATGACAGTAACCATAACAGTAACCATGACAGTAATCATAGTGGGAATCATGACATTAGTTATGGCAGTAATCATGACAGTAATCATACCAGTGGTAATCATAATGGCAATCATGAGAGTTTTAAAAGTAATCAAGGGTTGGATATTGAAGCCGATCCTGAATCTTTGTTATCAAATGTTAATCATAAAATTGCAATAACCTATTCAATTGACTGCATGAGGAATCATTCAAAAATTTAAACATAATTTGTTTGAAAGAGATGATTGTACGGGACAATTTTTCGCTAGGCTGGCTTTTTCAAATGGATAGGTTTCGGGTGGGCGAAAGTCGCGGTGGGTTCGTTTTGCCGCATTGCCCAACTTGCCGCATCGTGCCCAACTGCACAAAAACGACTCTATTGATCAAAAAAATGTGGACGTTTTCACTTGAAGACAAAATTTATCGATTTCGCCTACTACTTATTTCATCATAGATATAAGCCCATAAAATTTCATAAAGAGTTTGTTTGAAATAAGTTTATATTATTATATAAAATCCACGTAAAAACACTCACAAAATTGAAACTTTTGACAGTTGCATACCTGAGTCACCAACAAAGCATGTCATGTTTTCCTGATCTAATTTGCATAGTAATTACCCTATGCAACGACTTAATCTAGTTTTTATGAACCTGTCTTATGCACATAGGATCAGTATAGTTGCAGGGTGAATATTTCAAAATGTAATTATACTTAAATGACCTGTTGAAAAAATTGCCCTTTTTGAGACAAATTAGTTATGTGTTCCTGAATTTGTTGTCCTCCCTTTTTTGAATAAAATATACGTCCGCGACGCTACACTAACCCTTTTAAGCTCATTTTTTTGGGAATCCTTAATGTTGGTTTATCCTTACCAATACCAATTATGCAATTATTGACATTCATGGTATAAACATCTTTGACGGCGACAGATAGCATCCGAAATTTGAAGTAGACGGACTCACTTTTGAATATTTGACGAAGACCAATCTGATTTATCAATTTTTTCAGGAAACGGATTGGAATTTTGAATATTTTCAGGAAACGGATTGAAATTTTGAATATTTGACGGAAACGGATTGGAATTTTGAATATTTGACGGAAACGGATTGAAATTTTGAATATTTGACGGAAACGGATTGGAATTTTGAATATTTGATTTGACAGAAACGGATTGGAATTTTGAATATTTGACGGAAACGGATTTAATCTCTGACGGAGACAGATTGAATCTTAAACGGAGACGAGAGACGATTTCTTACGTAGTCATGAGAATTCAAGTTTCAGCCATTGTGTTATTAGGTGTTATTGTAGCCTCAGGGGCAGAGCCAAATGAACTGGTTTCCTTTGCGTGTCTGTTCTTTGAGAAAATGTTTAAAGAATGTCCGGAAGGTAAGTCCTGCATTTTCTGGTTTAATTCGTACATTGTTCTCAGAAACGAATTGTTCAGCTAAGATACCGTTGAATTTCAGCTTTAATATCCAATTGTATCACAATCATCCGTGTATGAAAACTCTACAGTTTGAAGCAACCGTTAAGGAGTGGGTATTTACAAATTATCGTACAGGGCATTTTCTCTTAAGGCTCTTGTCAACAAGACGTACAACTTTCGGATACCCAAGTTATCAGGATTGGAATAAACTTGTGAACGAAATAAATAAAAAGTGAAATATTTCTTGTCTTGTTTGTACGGTCGTTCGCATATATCATTTTTTTTTCAATTTTGAATTAAAAAACTGGAATATAATTGTAGAACATAATTTTCAATTAAAATCTAGTATTTTCACCAGGGGGATATTTTGTAGTTTTTAATTCTAGAATTAATTCTTGAATCTGAAAATTCAAGTTTTTTTTATTAAATATTATTGAATTAGCCCCCAGGTGAAAATTAATTTCCACTCAGGTGAAAATACAAGTTTTTCATAAATAAATTCTAGAATTACCACCTAATTTTCCGGTGGAAATTCAAGTTTTTAATTCAAAATTATTTTTTATAATTATATTCCAGTTTTTTTAATTCAAAATTGAAAAAATAAATGATGTCGGATACGAACCACCGTAAGTTTGAGGTATATTTGAAGAAATTATACGATTCTCATAGGTAATGTTCCAATCTATAATTTGAAAACCATCGGTGGTCGATCCTTTCAATATCAATCTGCTATATTATGGAATCGTCTCCCTTACGAACGTAAAATATCACCATCATTACAAACTTTCAAATCTCGCTTAAAGACTCATCTATTTCAACGCTACCATTAGACTTGTTGTAAAACTCATAATTATTGTACATGGTGATCCTAAGCGCTTTGATCATGTCCCTGTGTGATGTGGATTTAGGCGCTCTACAAATGTTTATTTATTATGTTTATTTATTATAAATGCAAAACGAACCAACAAAACTTCCATGTTTTTAAATATATTTAATGCTTAAAATTTAACGACTGGATTTATAATTAAAAATTTCAGGGCCCATTTCGCTACATTTTGATCTAAAATTTTCACAAGCGGAATGTCTACTTGAATTAACTTGAATTAACTTGAATTTGTTTTAAAAGCATTAATCAAAAAACGGAGTCTTCTACTTATTAAGCAAGCAGGTTAAACCAGTTTTGTTGTTAGACCTCATATAGATTCGCTATTTTTACTTGAAACCTGAAATCTGTATGGTTGTTTTCTAAGAGCTTCCTAAAAGCATAACGAACATTAAATTAGTTTTGGCGAAAAAAAAACTAACTGCAGGAATTTTTAGTTGAAACTTTAAGATAAGTAAAGAGACACATTTCTCGAGATTTTGGTGTATAGTTTTCATAAATTGAGCAAAACGTTTTTTTTTCGAACTAAGAATAAAAGATAATGTCCCTTTTCAGGAAATACTCCAGATGTTGGTAATAATCAAAATCCTGGCATTAATATTCTAATCTATCAGATACTGCGATATCTTACAAATTTGCACCAGGGCGTAAATAACACACTTCTAGAGTTAAATCTGATGAACACTGGCTCCATTAGCCTCGTGTACTTAAGTGGATTGGATCCCCTTCATCGAGAATATTAAAAAAACATTCTGGGGATGGTGGCCCGCTTTAGGGTTTGCGACCGTGAGTTAAGGGTTTAACCAGTAACTTTTGTAGCTGAGTCACTGGAATTGAAAGTTAAAATGA